AAACAAATATTTCTAATAAACTTCTTTTAAATTTCTACAAAAAATGACATAATATTCAGATTTTCATTTTGCAAAGTCGATTAAATCAATATATTGTTATTTTTATACTAACAAATAATCTTATATTTCTTATAAATTTCGTATCATTTTTTTATTTTAATTAAAAAATAATTATCATTTAAACCAATTTTATGTTATTAATTAAAATGATTAACAGTTTCAAGAATTGTATATTGAAATTATATTTATTAAAGCTTTTAATTATAAAAAAGATTGGATTTTATTTGCAACGAGAAAATGATGTCTTTAGTGATCAACCATTGATTTGTCGTTTAATATGTGATAAAACCATTGGATTTTTACTGCAAATAAAACTCGTTTTTTGTTTGTTTGTTTTGTCAGCGATTTGCTACTAGTTATACACTACTGTAATATTGGTTTAATTTACAAAACGTATATTTAATTTAACTAAAATTGCAGACATTATTATATTGCTATAAACTTATATTAATGTAGTGTACTGTACACTACAATATGATTTTAATTAAATTTATTTTTGATTTCTACAAAAATAGCTTTAATTTTTTGGACAAAAAAATATAAGCGCCTTATGTTTCATATTATTCACATGACTTATCATTTAATAAACTACAATGAAATTAATCAATAATTCATTTTTTATGAGTTGTCTAAACATAGACAGATCAAAATTAGCGGTACATCTAATAAATGTAATTTTATAGCTAATAATAATAAACCATAACTGAGTAACAATATATAWATATCTTGAATTTTTTAAATATAAATTTAGATAATTTTATATAATTTAATTAAATCTTAATTAGTATAAATGACTTTTAACTTAATATTAAACTAAATAAAAATCATAAAAAATTATCTTATTATAATTTAATATTTAATTTAACTGAATATATTAAAAAGTACTAACAAATATAATGTAAACATAAACTTTTATGGCGTGTTTAGTATAAAATTTTATAGTAAACTGTAATTAACTAATTTAATAAAATTAAAGCAAAGTGTATATAAAATATCAATATTACTATTATCTATTATAATATATGGCATATAAGCAGTTTGTATTGAAAATATCATTTTTTCCGCCAATAGGTCGATGAGGCGTCGATTTGGTCGGTCAGGCCTTATGTTAGGTCAGATCTTAAGAATACTCGTTAAAGACACTAAAGTTGATTTTAGTTGGGATTTGAACCCGGCATATATAGTCCAATAGTAAACTACACTACTTATTGAGTTACACATTAGCAATTTATTCTATATTTTGTATAATAATTAACAAAATTAATAATAAGTTTTAAATATTTTTATTTTCTTAAAATTTACTACAATTTTTACAAATAATAAAGCCATAAATAATAAAACATTAAAATTCATTCAATTTATAATTTTATTATTTACATAATATAGTATTAATTTTTAATATATTATTATTGTAATTAAATATATAATATGATAATTTATATAGCAATTATAATTAATTAATTAAATAGTGTTTATAGTTTTATTATAATTATAAATGTAGTTATTTTATTTACCAAATTTGCTCATTATATTTAATAATTTAAGCTCATATATTTATATATGCTTATGTGAAACTCATATTATTTTTATATTTTATAATAACAATATTAAATATTTCAATTATATTATTATACTGTTTAAAATTATTACAATTTGATTCATTTAATCATATATGTTAATGTCTAAATTATAACTTTCAAGTAATTATCAGTAATAACAAATATAATCAATGTTAAATTAAATAAACAAAAAAAATATAATAGTAAAGTTTTGTAACTTTACACAAATGTTTAAATGTGTTAACATATAATAATAATTTAGTTGAACTAATCCGTGACAACAACTAATTATTGACAGTAAATATGATCACAATATAGCCTCTCATTATGTTTATATGTTGAACAAGGCTTTCGCCATTCATTATATATAATACCATAATTTCACATAATTGTAGAAATTGCTATAATATTAAAGTATTCATATTATATACATTTATAGATCATGAAAACAATTGCTTATTAGTATTATTATTATTAACATTGTTATAACAATTAAACCTTTAAATAGTATATGACTAGAAATTAAATCAATAATAAAAGTGAATTTAAATATTCATAACATTGTATTTTGTATGTATATTACAATTACGTGTTTTCACTCATTCATAGCTTCATTAATATATTAAAGTACAGCAAAACTAAAAAGACTCTCAACAAACATAAAACTTTTTGTTTTTGTTTTATATAAATGTTTCTCAAAATTAATTTATTTTCCTTTAGAAATGCCTTTAGTTTATTCATTACAAACACATTCGCGCATTCATTCAGTTTTCAAAAATAACATTACATTTGTTTTTAACATTTTTTTGATGAATAGTATGATTAAGCTTCTAAAAGCAATTAATTATTAAACTATATGTAAAATAAAAATTGAATAATAATAATAATAATAATATAAATGTGAATAAATAAATATATATAATAAGTGTATAATGAGAAATGTCATTTTCACACAGCATATCGCAGCCCCAACTTATACGATATGAACCCCTGTGTGAACAATCCTTTCTCAGTTATATATAATAATTATTATTAACTAGAGATTAATTATCATAAAATTATTTTTTATGTTTGTTAATTATTTTTAATATTTTGTCAATTTTACTATTAATATTATTAATATTAGTCACAATAATTAATTATGTGTTTCAAATGTGTACATTAAATATCATTGTATTATATATTTTTATACTTTGTAATTAATTTATAGTTACTTGAAAATTATTATTATTATTTTAAATAGATTATATGTGCATTGTATATTTAAAATGTGTATCTCTCTAAAAGTTATTAAATTATATTATATTATTACATTATAAACAACGTGTTATTTGTTATTTTTATTGTTATGATAATAATAAAATTTTAGATGAAAGACATTAAAGTTGAGATTCAATTATAAAGTGAACAATAAAAAATTGTACACAAATATGTCTAATAATAAACTGTATTATTTAATTTATTATATTATTATTAATAATAATAAAATATTTGTTAAATATATTATAGTATAGAAACTAAATGTTTTTTGTAATTTGTATTATTTGATATCAAACAACTTGTGTAAAACATCAATATATGTGTTATAATTAATGTCATTAATGTTGTTAATTGATAAAATCTTCACGAAATTAGATTTTTTGATTTATAGATAAATCTATTCATTTGAATGCTTGTGTTTTACTGTAAATCTATAAATATAGAGTATATATAATAAATGTTTGATAGCAAATGAAATGATGTCACAAATATAATACAAGTACTGTACTATCAAATTATATTAAAGTATTTCAATAAATTTTTAAATTCTAGAAAATTAAATTTCTCGACTATTTTTTTAATTAATATAATTGTTTTCAAACACGCTTTTGACTTAATTAATATTAATTTGTTGTCAAGCAATATATATATGTGGAAATTAATAGGAAATCTTCTTTAAATATTCCTATAGTTAGTATAAATTTTTCAACATTAATTGCATTTCCAGTTATTTTATTTTTTACTTATTTAATTTCAGTTTTTTATATATGTTTTTGAATGTTTTCAAAGTAATATATATACAATATATCGATTTGGTGTCTAAATATAAAAAAAGTTTTTAAATCTGTTATTTAAAAAAACGGAAAGAAAGGGAAATCAGTTAAGAAATTATAATCTTCTTGTTGTCATACAATCAATGGGAACCTTTAGGTCACGCAAAGTGTATGACTAACCAAATATATATATATTTTTAATTTATCAATCAATATATTGTTGTTTAACTGAAGTTTATATAATAGAAAACATTTTTTTTCTTGAATTGATATATAAAATCAATATTTGATTTGAATTTCATTCAAATGAAATTAAATGATTGTAATTATATTCAACAGTATATTTATTTACAGTTAAAACAAAAATCTTTGATTACATTTCAAAGGCAATAATATAAGCAAATGACTATTAAAACAAATAGTGTTTTCAATTATATGTCTTATTTTAGTTTTATTTCTAGACTAATAAATAGCATTTTTTGGCAAAATAAATGGCAAACAAATGTAATGTTATTTGAGAAGTTTTATTTTAATAATTAAGAGTTAAATTATTTTTATGTATTTGATATAAATTAAATGTTATACTAAATTTTGAAAAACAATCAAAAATTAAATAATTACGGGCAGTGATAAGCAAATCTATTATAATAATATTATAATACAGTATTTTCAAATATATTTTATAAAATACATAGAAAATAAATTTTAAATGTTGTAATAAAAACACAGTTAAATTTATTTTATTAAATTATAGTAAAAATAAAAATTGCAGTAATCAATAAGATTATGTAAACAATAATTAAAAATAATTAATTTTATTATCTCATAGCTTCCTCATGCAATATAAGTAAATAATTTTGTTACATAGATTTTATTCATCACAGCCCATAATTACTTGATTATAATCGTATTAAATAAAATCTAATAAATAATATTTTTAATTAATTACTATTATATACGTTTCACCGGTTTTGTACCAATTTTTGGASCCATTCATCAAAATTCTAGTCAACATTTTTAGCCAAACATTTAGTATTTTATAGAAATTAAAGTTTATTTTTCCTAAGAGTATATATTTATAGTATTAAAAATTTAATATATTTTCTTTGTTATAATTAATCAATTTTTCTAAGTTTTATTAACAAATAAACACGTTTTTGTAATTTTATAACTTAAAAATATTATATAAGAAATAAATTTACAATTTAAATATCTTAACTTTTTAACTTAATTAATAATATTTTTCATAAATTTAATAATTAAACTTATATTTATTAAACAATAATAAGTTAAATAGCGTTTTCTAAAATAAATTGAATTAATTAAATATTTGATGTATTGATGGACTGAATTGTTGTCCAAAACAACCTTAAGGCCGACAGAAGACAAACTCGTTGTAATGATTCCAACGGTTCTCTTCTGAATCCATTCCTGGTTTTAATGGTTCTCCACTACCGCATGAAGTGCCCGAACCACACGATCCAACCATACGAAAGCCGGCCTCTTGTAAGCTATCGAAAGCCGATTCTAGTGATAAGTGTTTTAGGAAATATCGGGCCGTATATCGATCGTCTTGGCCGTGATCTGGGTCTCGGGATTCGTTAAGAGTCTCACCAAAAATTTCTCTACAAATTAATACTTTTCCCGAAACCAGTATTCGTGTCAATTTACGGAACTTGACATCAGATGCCATACCATCTCTCCCGAAGGCAAATGAGCCGCGATATCCTACTGTTATGTAACAATTGGTGCCATAACTGGGAGACACTGGCGGTGGTGTAGCTGTTGATTGGTATGGTGTTAGAGACAGTCGTTTATTTGTAGCCAACTGTGACACCAAATCAGTCAATCTATAATATTCAGCTTCAGTTCGTAGGCGTTCCCGTTCAGCAAAAACATCGGGTAATACAATCTTTTTGGTTCTTAAGTAATCGAGTATAAAGCGAAACAGTTGGCCATCTCTATCGATAAAGTAACGGCCCTATAGTGGCACAGGAATAGTAGGTATAGTATACTATGAATCACTCGACTTATTTCATTATACAGTATATTATAGACTAAAACAATTTATTACAATTATACTGTATATAAATGTAATTTATCACAGAATTTACTAAATTGTTAAGCAATTGTCAAGAAATGTGTTAAGTAATCAATTTTTATTGAATTTTTTCAACTGTCAAGCATTTTAACGTACAGTTCATACTAAACAATAAAATCTTATTTATGGTAATAATGTTTTACTGTTTATATCAACGATTCTTTAACCTACAATTCTATACAATTTGTTGCATTTTTAATGTTTCACTCAATGTAGTAGTTATGCAAAACTTGATTGATAACAATTTGAATAATGCTGAGATAGGTAAATACAAAATTGCAAATATTGTAAAGTTGATTAAATCATTTTAAATTTTTCAGTTTAGAAATAATTTATTTTTTATAAATAACTGTATATTAATATTTTTTAAATTTCAAATAAATGATTATTACAAATTTTTACTAATTATTTTTTTCTATAATTAATAAATAATTTATTACTTTGAACAATATTTAATATAGTATAGAAAAAGTAGTGTATTGTATAATTTAATTGAACATTATCTATGACTTTAATATAGGATATAATATTATTGCAATTTCTATGCCAACAGCTTTGATCAAATTTGATTAATGGATCGTCAAAATTGTTTTTATTATACCATATGTACTGTAGTATTGTATCTTCTATATAATATTACAGTAAATATATTGTATTGATATAACATTTTTATGATCACATAACTGATGTAACATTGTTATAGTCTTATTTGTTATAGTATGTTAAATAGTTTTATATTACTGTATTATGTTTTTAATAWATTAATAGTACATTATGTTTTTTCTATAAATATATTTAAAATTAGTAAATACAGTAAATAATATAAAAATTTATACTTAACAACTACTTTTTAATATATTAATATACAAATTATATATTTATTTGAGTGAGTTTTATTTTAGTGTGTCTAAAGTAATTTATTTTATTTGTGTAGTGTTATTTGAACTTAAATAATAATAATAAATAATAATGGGTGTGTTTGATAGTAATTTTTAATTAACTTATTGTTAATATTTATATCATAGTTTTCAGTGCTAAATATTGATCCTTACATAATTTTTTTTAATACAATCAAAATATTACGTTTATATAAGCATTAAAAATGATGGGTTATATTGTAAAGTATATTATATATTGTCTAATATATTATATAAATTTTATGTATAGATGTAGTAAATTCTAAATTTAGAAAAAAATTTCAAAAATTATATACAATATGTATATCTAATGTTTAAAAAGTGAAGAATACATTACACATATTGTTATGAGCTTTGATAAGACAATAACTTATAAATCCTTTAACTAAAACAATACATAACTGTTATATAGAAATGTTTTTTGAAAATAGCTATTATTAATACTTGAATTTACTTTTAGTGAAGACTTCTTTAATTAAAGTCTAATCTTTAAGATTACTCTGAATTACATTCAATTCTTTGTTCGGAATAAAATGTTTTGCAAAACAAAACAGAAAATACTCACAATTTATACATTTTGAAAGTTTAATCAATAAATTACAGTTTACTGTGTTATCCGTAAAGTCTGATATTATGATATATATGTAATTAAATGCTTAACAATCAAAAGGCGTTAATTTAATCGAGTGTTTTAAGTATTGCTTTTATTTGAGACATACATTGCATTCATGTGTCGGCATTTAAGATGGTTTTGAGTCACATCTGTGTCTCTAATATTATATTATAGACAATATACTGAATGTATGAATATCTATATTGTATCTGAGGTCACGATATATAAAATCAATAAAAATTAAGATATAATATAAAAGAAAAATATCAGTAATTTTATAATAATTGAGTTTTCAAAATAGAAATCTAATAACATTATTGAATTTATTATAATAAACACAATTAAAGCTTACATTATATTAAATACAAGCTATATCTCTATTTTGTAAATTAAATTAAATGTATCATTTTTTAAAATAAAATAACAAATAATCATTTTATTAAATTATTAATTCAATACTATATCTATAGTATGAAATTAATTTATCAACAAATTATTTAATAAAAATAAATATTTTTTATTTGTTTGTTCTAAATATAAATTTAAAAAAATTAATGTAAGAAAATCTAATTAGAAAATCAATTAATTTATTCTTATTTTTTATTATAAATGTATTTTTATTATACTATCAGTAATTTTAATAAAAATAGATTTAAAGTATAAATTTTTATTATAGAATATTAAATAAGATACAAAATGAATATCTCAAGTGAAAATTTAATGTATTTTTAATAATAGTATTTTATATAATATACTACAGGATAGTAACATTATAATGAAAATTAATGATATGTTTCAATATATTATTTGAAAGTATTTCACATTTATATATAATTGTTGGTATGAATGAATGAGTGGATGATTGTGTGTTTATTGTATATTACGTATAGTATAGTAGATTTATTAATATTAATATAGTAAATATTAATAAATAAAAAACATTTTTGTCAAATTGATTAAAAATCGCACTTAAAATTATAGTTTGAAAAATTCAATGTCAATCAATAGTTGAACAAAATTCAGGTGAATATAAGCAAAATTTTAAATATAATATTATAATATACTTTATAATTACCACTTAATTGAATGCTATCGTATTTTTAAAATAAAGATTTGAATTTAGGTTTTTAAAATGTTTATATATCATTGATATACTGTACTAACAATTGATTGTTATATATATTTGATGATAGGATACATATTTCATATTGATTTTAATATAAATTGTGATTTTATGACATACTTGAGAGTCCTTTCCAATGGTATGTTTATTGGTAAATAAATCCGCAATAAGTGAGTTCGGTTCGGCTGTCAATGTGGACAATGAGGTCGTGTACGTAACGCCACCGACATTTAAATCAACAACTGATGGAAAACTTGCCATTATTTATGTTTTGTTAACAAATATAGATATTTGAAGAATAATCGACAGAAGTTTAAATATATTTTTGTTATTTATTATTAAATTTTTATTATTTTTGGATTTCAATTATTATCAATAATAATATGTTAAATGTTTACTATAAAGACAAATATTTCTTATTATTTTTCTATTATAACAAAATGTGACAAATATGTTCACAAAAATGGTTTATTGAGGGATTACAATAACTTTATAGACAGTAAAATTTATATATTTATTTTTCAACAGTTTATATATAGAAGAATTGGATGACAAGATAAGGACAGTCGTGTATTTAGTAGCCGTCAAATAGATTAAGCCATTGATGCAATATATATACTGTATATATATATATATATATATATATATATATATATTTGTTGTTGAATTGACTTTTGGTAAATCAATGTATTTTATGCTTATTTATTACAGTTTACAGTTTACTATTCAATGGATCGCACATACAGTGGACACTTGAGAAAATGCATCAAAAAACACATATAGATTAAGATTTTTGATTTAAAAATCAAACTTTTTATTAAAGACGAACTACTAATGTTAAGGACACGCGTTCCCTCATGTTTTAAGTTATTATAAATAAATATATAGTTACACACATTGACATGTATTACACTTTTTGGTTGTCACCAACTCTTAAATAAACAGAATATTCTTGTCGTCACAGAATTGGTTCTCAGAGGTCTAAACAGTGACTTAGATGTCAGACAACAAATAAAATTTTTTGGGCAAATCTCGTGTTTTCCTAACTATCCTTTCAGTCATGCGCTCCGTCCAGACATTGATTTTTTGATATCCCATCTTCTAATCGATAAAAACAGGTCTTATATTTAGGAAAGGCTTGAAGTCAAAACCATCTTTTGGATTATAACCTAAATGTTTGGAAATATTTTTAGATATATTGTGTAGAAACTAATGAATACAGAATATTCTTTAAATTCTCAAATTTAATGATTAAAATTTGAGACTCAGATCAACGGTTTAACTAATGATGTAAATGATTAAAGAATTTTTCTTTTATAATATAAGATTACAAAATAATGTTTTTCCATTAAATCTTATTTCATAACTAACAATAATCCGCAATATAATATCTATGTAATAAAATTAAGTATATACCGGTACAGTATATATATAATAAAATATAATATTTTAAACAAAATTTTGATGTGAAGTTAACTGTGAAACATGGACTTTAAAATATAAAACTAATTGAAATAAATTATATTTAATATAAATTATAATTAAAAAAATAACATCAAATTTCTCCAAAAAATAATTTTAATAAACATTAAATTTATTTTTAAATTAAATTTCTTTAACGATAGTGTAACTAATTATGTCATATTATATAATTTATATTTATTGTATAAACTACTAATATACAAAATAATATATATAATGTTGCAAAATGTGTTTTGTAAGGTTTAATTGAATAAAATTATATATTAAATATAATAAATGTCTATATTTTATGAATAATTGATTGCTTGCATGCAATAGTAAAATTTGTATTCATTTAAAATACTTTTTATTAATAACAATAATATACAGTACATTGTATATAATATTATGATATTTTATTTAAATGTTAACAATTCTCGTTTCACTAAATTCTCGTTTTAATTTTAATGAATAAAGTATTGCATTTAATTCTTTAATACATAGCTTTTAAAAATATAAAAACAAACTTTAATTATATAACAAATTGTTTATCTTAAAAATTTAACTTTTTAATTATTATTATCATTATATAATTAGAGATGGGCAAATAGAAAGTTTCTAATAAATTTCCCYGAGAAAGTTTCTAGAAAATTTCTCAGGAATAAAATTCTATAGAAATTTAACTTTACTGTTATACTATGGGATCCCCATATTTATAGTTATTGTAATATTATAGATATAATATTATACTATACAGTATAGTACAGTACTATACAAATGTGATTAATTTAATTATTTAAACATTTAATTAATTTTGTAAAATTGTATCATTATTTTATTATATATATCATACTGTAGTTTAATTAATTAATTTTTTACTCTAATTAATAATTAAAATACTAATAATAATATTTACGGTAATGTATTGTTATATGATAGCAAATATAGAGATAACAAAATTAAAATGGGGATCCCATAGATAGAAATTTCTTTTAGAAACTTTCTAGAAATTTCTCTATTATTTTATAAATTTCTCTTTTTTGCCAACACTATATATAATTATTATAAAATAAAAATAATTTTTTTTAAATAAATAATATTACATTAAGAAATAAAAAGTTAAAAAATTTAATGTAAAAATAAATTATTTTCTAATAATATTTATTATATGCTTAAAAATAGTTTTTAATTACTAAGTGTACACTTTAAACATAACATCTAATAATAATTTCTAAAAATGTTTAATTTCAAAGTTTAAAACTATTTCAAAATGTTTTTGTCTAATATTATCATAAAAATTCAAAAATTCTGTAGTTTGTTGTAAAAATTACTTGTATTTCAGTATAAATATAAACTCTATTATATTATATTATAGATTAACACAATATACTAAAATAAGCAATAAATATAAATAACAATATTATATATATAATTAAATTGGTAGTACAGTATATCATTTGTAATTTTAAATTATATATTAAAATTTATTTATTTTATTTTATTAATAGGTTGTTTTTAGTAAAACCAGTAATTAAATACTGTATTACAACAATTTACTATTAATAAATATAATTTACTGAAATTGATTTTTCTATTATCTTAAATAACAAAATACGGTAAATATTTTGTATTACGGTATATCATATATCTTATAACTTTGCTATAAAAATATACTTCAATACTATAAAAATAAATATAAATTACTCAGTTTATCAATTGTACCGAAATTTTTGTTATTCTCATAATTTAAAATTAAATTCAAATTTTCTTTCATTTAATAATAATTGACTTATAAAATACATTATTGTTTACCAAAATTTGCAAAATAATCAATAGTACAAAATTAAATAAATCATTTAAAGATACAAACAATGTATTTTAAAATACAATTTATTTATATTAATATTTTTGTTTCTCAACTTTGGTTTCCATTAATTACTTGTGTAAACATTTGTCTATATAATTGTTTCAAATTATTGACTATATTTATAACAAGAGTTGTCGTCTCTTTCATGAATTGTTCATAATTTTGAGCTAATTTGATGCCATCAACAGTAGCTGTTAGGATATCATCGAAAGTATGCAATTTGTGTCCATTTTGTAGATATAAACCTAAAGATATCATAATAAATAGCATAAAAACAACAACTGAAAGACTTATGAAAAATTTAAGCAAAAATAATATAAATCCAAATAAATTGTTAATAAAAGACATGGATCTCTTTGAATCAGTTCTTTTACTATGAAGATCACTGTTGTTGTGATCATCATAAGCCTCATCATTATCTTCACTGTTATTATCGGTCAACTGTTGTACTTTTCGAGCACTTCTTCTCGCATTTTTAGCCTTTCTCTTCTCTTTTTCTTTTCTATTCTTCTCTTCCAAACGTCTCTCCAATTCTTGTTTTTCTTGTAATAGTTTCTGTCTTTCATTATTTTCCTTCTCAGTCCTGATATTTTCATTCTTCACGAATTTAAGACAATTGACAGCACATAACTCACATTGTCTTTGATTAGCACAATCTCCGGCAAATTTGGCCAGATTTTGATCCAATGGATTGCCCTTTAAGTCTAACCACTTAAGTTTGGACAGTTGGATGAAACTCAATGGCAATGTCCGCAATTGGTTAGAGTATAGATCCAAACGAACCAATTTGTTGAGATCACCGAAACGTTGCGGTAATTCTCGCAATTGGTTTTTGCTTAAGTCTAAGACAACCAAATGTGTCAAAGATGTAAACGAATCCTAAGTGTTGGCAACGAAACAAACAAATGAAATATCTTTTAGTAATTTGCAAAAGTGGTGTTCAAATGATGATGTCATCACAAATCACTTACCGGTAGTCTTACGAGTGAATTGTTGGACAAATCAACGCGTCTGGCCTTCGGGTTTCGTTGAAGATCATCGACCGGCGCTTCTTTCAGTGATAGCATTGATAGATCCCAATCACTGCCATCCATAGTGTGGTCGTGTTTACGGAGATTTAGTGACATATTGTTGTAATTGTTGTGCAATAAAGTTATGATATTTAGATCAATGAATCAATTGTGTGAATAATTGGCACAGAAGTTGAATTAGTATACAATAAGTTAAATATATATTTAAAAGGATTCAATCAATTGATCACTGGATCAGACAGTGAATGACAATAGTGTTGACGTCACTGTATGTGTATATCTCGTGTCCGACACTGACATCAATAGCCAATCACAGCTCACAATAACTCAGTTTAACTGTTTTGCCGCCAATTATAGACAACTTTTTACAAATATTTTATTATTAAATTCATTAAAATTATTAAATTAAAATAAATTATTATATTATAAAAAATTTAATTATAATACATAATAAATATGTTTACATAAAATTATTATAATATTGTAATTACAAAACTTTACAGTAATAATAATAATAATAATAATAATAATAATAATAATAATAATAATTTTAAAGTAGTTTTAAATGATTATCAAATTGGCTATAATTTTCTTGTCTCAAAGTAATGCCATTCAAAATCCAGTTCTTATTAAGAGGTGATCCATTGGTGACAACCAAACGACTGAAATAATGACAAAGCATTTGAAGTATATCTTCACCGAAAAACTGACACTTTTTAGCCAACTTTTTGCGCTCCAAAGCATACAAATCCATTGCATTAACTATAACTCGATTATAATTATTGTAAAATTGGTCATCACTTGTGGTCATCACATACTCCATACTCATTGAGTTATTATCATTCAATTTACTGTAACTCTTCGGATGGCTAGTCATTGGAACAGATGATTCTGTAAACGAGTTATCAAAGAGTTTGGATTTATAACTAATGTTTTCCAGAAATGAATCAAATGGCAAGTCTTGACATTTTTCTTTGTTATTGTTGTTGAGGTCATTGTTAAGCGAAAAATCAAATATATTATTGTTTTGAGTGGTCGTCGATGTGTTGTTTTGTTTAAAACAGTAATCATTTGTTTGTTTATTACCGAAATCATGACCGCAATGGCCAGACTGTGACCTCTCATATCTGTTTGGACATCGCTTTTGATGTCCAAACATCCGAATTATCTTCTCTTCAATTGTCATTGTCTTGTAATAATTGATCCGATGATCACAATTGACTGGTCGCTGACCAGTGGAAGCCAACGGATAACTGATTTTATCATAATATGTGTTTCGAGTCAACAGTTTGTTTGTGGACCAGCTTTTGGTGACAACTCTTTTGTTGATTTGTTGTTTGACTTTATGTTTGATTAAATGATTGATATATTTATTCCTTAATTTGTGTCTCACTTTTGGTCCCATTTTTGTCAAACAATTCACTTAATTCTAAATACAACTCAAAAACTTATTTACAGTTATTTCTGATTTGTATTTAATATATCACTAATCGTGTCATTAATTTACTCCCAAATGTCGACTTCACTGTAAAACACAATTAAATAATAATCGATAAATCAATTAAAATATATTTATATGAATATATTGAGTGACAAAATGTATGGAAACAATGATTGTCTCATTAAATGATAACAAAACCAATTAATTTCAAATCAAATCAATGTATGACTTATTGAACACTAAGTCAACCATTGATTGAATGACACATCAGTTAAATGTCATCTTTTGATTGGATTTGCGATTTGTTTTCAATCGAATGAAAACACAGTTTTATAAGTAATGGTATATATATTATATGGGTTTGCATTTGGGATAGTATTCGGTTAAACAGGTATTCCAATCATTAGTTTATATTAAAATATGTGATAAACCATACATTGAATTTAAAAATGATTTAAAAATGATTTAAAAATGATTTAAAAATGATTTAAAAATGATTTTAAAATGATCAAGGGCATAATTATAGATCATATTATAATCAACATTATTGTACTTGGTCATTTTTTGATTAATTGTAAAAATATATAATAGTAGATAATAGTCAACTATATTATGTCAATGATTATAAACTAATGATTGGAATACCTGTCTAACCGAATACTCTCCCAAATTCATACACCATATCCACCATTACTTGTAATACTAATCAAACATAACATAAATAGTAATTATTAGACAATCAATATATCAGAAATTTTCAAAATATATTAATACCTGTATATATAAAAACCAGTTGAGAATGCTAGAAAGCATTTCCATACGAACTCCTAATCCGAATTAAAAATTAAATTAGAATTCTTTCAGGAGTTCGTGAAAACAATAAATATCTATTAGTAAAAATACCATATCATGTGATATGAGATATGATTATATTTTTTAAATAAATTTTTACTATATTTAGCATATTCTGCATAATTCTAAAATTTAATAAATTTCTATAGAAATTCATTATTTAATATGAATAATATAAAAGTTAGTTTATTTTTTAAAAATTAATTTTTTAAAAGTTTAACCTAAATAAAAAAGTTTTATTTAAAAATAAATAAATAACTATAACATTAATATAAAAACTAAATGTCAAAAACTAAAAAATAGTTAAATACTAAACTTATTATAATTATAAATATATTTTGTGTTTTAAGAAAAATATAAATTTTTAATTTAATTTTCATTTAAAAAACCAGTTGAGAATGCTTCAAAAGCATTTCCATACGAATTCCTTAACTTAAAAAAGAAAAAATAAAAAAAAAAGTTTTTGACACTATTTTCTCTATGTTCCTAATAAAATAAACTGAAAAAAATTTTTAAAAAAATTAAAAAAAAATTAAAAAAAAATTTTTTTTATTAATTATTGGACACCATTTTGTTTATTTTTCTGAAAAATAAACTTAAAAAATAAAAAAATAAAGAAAAAATWAAAAAAAATCACAAAAAAATGTGTAGCTGAACGTGGATTCGAACCTATGTCCTCGTGGGACAGACCGACAGACCGACTTATAGAATGCATATACGTATTCCTTTCAGGAATTCGTGATTAGTTCTCGATTTTGTTTATTTTGTCATTTTATATATAGTATTGAAATATAGAGAGTTTAGTTATTAGTAATAACTAGAGCTATGTTTCTTCGGGAATTCCCGAAACTTTATTATTCATTAAATCGTCGGGAATTTAATATTTATAGAAATATGGCAACATTTTGAATGAAATTAACGCCTATTATTTTTCCCGATTTTTTGTATTTTTTGAGAAAATCCCGAAAAACGCCGAAAAACACTATTTAAGTGTGTTTTTCGCCGAAATTCGCTAAATATTGATTGACATAACACTTAAATACATATTGATTACAATATTATCAGTACATCTAATACAATATTAACTCAATAGCAATGAATGATACGATATCTATCAGAGGAAAACACACTTTAGACAATATTTTGCTATAAAAACTGTAGTTTTGTATGTATTGTAAAAATATTTACTGTAATACATAAATTAATTAATGTTTTTTTTTTGTTTACTATGGTAGTTTGCTAACAAAGTTTAATTTATAAATAAAAAATAAATGCATTTTATAATCAATTACTCAATTAAAAACTGAAAATAAATTATTTTTAGCAAATGTAACCGATTTTGGGACGTATAAACTATTTATTATTAATTATATAAGAATAAAACAAAATATAGTTTCCCGATTTATATCCCGATTTTGCCATTTTTTACTCCCGATTTCCCGACCGATTTTGGTCATTTTAACTCCCGAAGAAACATAGCTATAGTTATTACTAATAACTTATTACTGTAGAAAAACTATACATTAATGTATGGGTTATTCAATTGAATGGACTAACAGTTTGTCAACAGATGACAGCACTGACTGTAATTGTCATTCAATTTATTCAATACATTGAATCGTATTATTATTTATTGCATAAGTCTTACACCATATCATATAAACTGCTGTTTTATATACCGTTTATGTTATCATATGTTATACATATAGAGTATTATTGAATGGCATTTAAATCTGTATTTATTTTTTTGATACATATTTTAGTTTTATTTGATTTGACTGTCAATTACTTTAATAGCCGAACACAACTCGTATTGAATTAATTTGATATAAAACTCATATAATATATAATTATCAGGTTTTATGACTTTTGGTTCAAACCTGATATTCATTTAGTGATAACATATGAAACCCTTATATCTATGACTTAAACACACAATCAATGAGTTTTAATTGGTTTCAGTTGTTTTCATATTATTTGCTTTAATACATAAACATAACAAACAATATACAGTATTATATACTTATAAAAGTTAGCGTAAATTAATGGACAAAAAAATATGAATCAATTATTTATAACTGAAAAACCTATTGATTTGTCATTAAAAGGCATTTCTTTTCATTCATTGATTGTTTTGTTGGTAAAGGGTTTCTACTTATAATGTCAAACAAAAAGCAAACTGTTTTTGACTGCTATTTAAATGACCAGTAATTGACTTTTAATTATAATTTTGTTATTAAATTAACTATAAATTGATTGAAACGTTTTGTTGTTTAGTTTACATATAAGTAATGCAATCCATGAGTTATATTGAAGTCAACCACAACTCGATTCACTTATTTTATAAGTGAGTGTTGAGAGAGATCTCAATGCAATTGAATTACAAATTAGTTTGTATTTTGTTATGTTTTTTGCCATTTAATTGCTATTCATTAAACATATCAATCAAAATGTAATTTAAATTATAAGTTAACATTGAAGTACAGGTTATACAGTATACACACAATCGCCAAACATTTGTATATATAATTTGATAATAAATGACATCATTATAAAAGCAATTATAGTTTTTAGCCAAACATTCAGTGATAATATTATTAATAAACTGTTAATCTTTGGACAATTTTCTCTACAAAAAAATTAGTTTTCAAACCAATGTATAAATGAATTTCAAATTTTGTTGGTTTTGCCATTTATTTAGGTTTTTAGCAATAAATTTTAGTAAACTTAAGAGGAAATACATTTTCAAACAATTTTCTACATTTAATGGGCGGAAAACTGCCTTCAAGTTAAAGAAACGGCAAAATTAAAGGCAATGAATATTGTTATTGTTATTATTTTTGTTATTATTATCTAAAGAAAAAATATAAATCTTAATACAGTAAGAGAAATAAATAGTCAAAATTGAATCAAACATATAATTATGAGAGAGAGAGAGCACAGGTGAGATGAGAGAACCCAAATAGGATTAGAGGTACACTATTATAATAACTACCCAAACATTTAGATACCTGTGCTGTATCTGAAATTGATATAAACAGTATACAAATGGCATGAATTTAAGTTTAATGTAAACTACTGTTCAATACAATAGTATGAAATATAAGTCCTATTTTTTGAAGCCATAAGTCAACAAATCGTGAACTAAAAGTTTACTTTAAATAAGTATATATACAAAGTGTGTTACATTAATAACACATTCAATCTGTTAGGTGTTGTTACCAATTGATGTTAACGACAAGTTATATAACTATATATTTGATTTAATAAATTTTGTCAGACATAGTGATGAGCAGTGCATTAGAAATGAATATTAGTTTACATTTTATACTTAATTTCAAAACTACTACTATTTTATGAGATTTCTTGTCGTGATTTATATAATGTTAACATTATTAAAGAGTTAATAATTTACTAACTTTTCACTATATTTTACCGATAAAATGGTTTTCAAACAAATACATTGTGTCGCTCTTTGAATATATAATATACTTAACAATGAAATACTGTATATACTGTAGTTTACACATGTTATATACCGGTAACTTTCAAAATACCCAAAATTCAAAACACTTAACTCATAAAACCCAAATCAGTTCACGTAAAATTTTATTTATAATTAACTAATTGTAAATTAATTTAAATTATTTATAGAATACAGTATAATAATATAGATAACTAAAAATAAGATAATTATTAGCTTATTTTTAGTTATCTATATTATTATATACACTGTATATATATATTACATATATACGATATAAGACAATTGGAAATATAAATTTTATTTATGTTATAGTTATACATTGATACAAATATGATATGACAGTTTAGGTTAAATAATTTTGGGTAAAATGAGTTTAGCTATTTTCAACAGATTTCAACAGTACTGTACAGTAAAGTGCATTTAAGTCAACATAACTGGAAACAGCCGGTCAATTGAAGTAAAGGGAAAGGCGTTTGAATGACAGTCACATATATTATATAAAGTTATTTCGATTGAGACAGAAGTGGATTCAATTCAGAGATTAGTTTCACAAATGATTTAAATGAAAGGATCAGTTAAGTAAACACATAATTCATTGAATGGTTGTGTTTTTGGGACATACGTTTGGCACACATTCCCAACCATTTACTAAATCCATTGATAAAAAACTATTTCTTTCATAACTTTTACTTTTTTAACTCTAAATACTTGAGACTTACTATTCCTACCGTATATAACCTAACGGATCCACATTCCTATGTTTGGACAATAAAAGAATATTTTTCGACAAATAATAATATCTGAAAAAATGTCTAAATATTTGTGACAACAGATTGTCGTACAAGAAATAGTAGTGTTTTTGTGACGTAAGCGCAAAAATATTTAAAAACATCCTAACGATTATGCCTTACCTTACCTTACATTATCAATCTTTACCATAACATACATACCTTACCAACAAATTGTTAGTTAGACTATTGAATAAGTTGCCAATAAATCTATAATAAATTTATAGGTAAGAGTAGTAATGGGGATATGGATGTAAACTTTATTTTCTTTTCAGGTAACTTTATGCATAATCACCCGGTGCCTCATTTGATATGTCGTTCCTCCAGCAGTTTCCCGCTCAGTAACCAAAGTCCAGGTGCTGTCGATAATAACTCTGACCTTCATTTAGGCAAATGGTATTAAAGTCCTATTACTGTAACTAACAGTTTATCTCATACTCAGCTGTCGATCCAATAAAACATTTGATTCAACGTTGAATACAACTGTTTTGAAGGTCTGTCAGGTTTGTGTGTCTGTGTTAGTACTGCAGGTTTGTCGTAGTCATGTGTTTTTGTTA